ATAAATGATATTGATAACGGCAGAGTAAACCGGGGCTATTCAAAATTCTCACGGGGCTATAGCCCCCCCCTAGCCCCGGTGTAGCGCCGTCACTGCTTTCACATATCTTTAGTGTGAGAAGAGTTTCACATATCAGATAGATCTGAAAAATCACCTTTTCCTTCACTCTTCACTCAGGAAGAGTGTACCTGTGGGTCCTTGAAAGGTCCGTGTACGTTTTGATCATTTCATCTCCTATTTGCAATGCAATAACGAGAAACGGAAAAACTGCTTGTTTATTAGTTTTTCCGTTTAGTTTAACAAACGGAAAATGAGATTTTGGCTCGATTTCTCATTTTTCGTTTGGGGTTTAAAAATCGGTTTATGGCTTCAATATTTAATTCGCACGTGTGGGCGGCGCTGAAACGCTCCTTTCATCTGATTGGTCGAATCGCTCCGCCTTCAGTACGGCCTTTTCATTCTTTCAGGCAGAATAAGAGTCAGTACGAGTGCGGCACTATAATGTCTGAAACCACCACTCACTGTTAATTACGCATAATATTTTAATCAGATTTTGCTGGGCACATAATTCGTGCTGCTGCGACTTGCAAGTGACCCCTTTAATGCGAGTTACAGTATGCTGACAGATTATTTCTAGGTAGCCTATTAGTATTGTATGAATATTGTCCCATTGATAAATACAGTGCAAATAGTTCCGTCTCTTTGGATAAAAGTGAAGTGGAAATAAAAATCAATAATAGACTGAACAGTTCCATGATAATATGTCCGTAACATGTACCACTCTCGTCTTTTATTTAAGTCAAAAGGCACTAGGTAGGTGTGTGTGACATGAATAAATAATTGTGAAAATTAATAAAGTTATTGCATTCCAAATAGGAGATGAAATGATCAAAACGTACACGGACCTTGAAAAAGCATTACATTTCAGCAATCTAAAAACAATAAAAATACACTTGAAAAGGCAAACGTTGTTTTGATTGGCTAGAAATTGTCATGTTCACTAATTTACCTTCTAACAGAGTTACTAAGTGATTTGTGGATTTCCAGCATGTACGTTAAAACGGAATTCAGAATAAATAAGATAACGTAATGTTGTAATGGATCAGTGCTGGTTAGTAACTGATAAGCTGAGTTGAGTATTGGTCTTTCACTGATCTCTCTGATAATGAGTGCTATAGTTTTGCTGATTGGATTAGAGCTGCTGCTAGGTATTTTGTTCTCCAAACTTCACTAAAACACTAATGTAACATTACATACATTTTAAGATTTACTACTAGTTTGATTTTCTAATAAACTGGTTATTGCATCTTGTATTTATTAACGGATCTATTCACTCTTAATAAGGGAAGATGAGGAGTAACAACTGAATATGTTGAAAGATTATACTGTACTTCAGTTCAGATACATTTACATTGTGACTGTGCCTCAGATGCAGTCAATCAAAACTGTTTCCCAAAGTGTGACCCAAATGGCCCATTAGGTCAGCATTAGATCAATGCATTATGGGCTGTCCATGGGGTGTTATTGTATTGTGTAGCACATTTGTTATCAGGTATGATGTGTGTGTGTGTGTGTGTGTGTGTGAGAGTATGTGTGTGTGTGTGTGTCTGTGTGTGTGTGAGAGAGTGTGAGAGAGAGAGAGAGAGTGTGTGTGTGT